AGTTTGCTTGGAAAATAATGATGAGATACTTCTTGACTCCAGAAAGTAAGTAAATATAAAGGGGGAAATTGCAAATGTTGGAGGAATTGAGAAGAAATTGCAAACTACACACATATTTTTTATACCTGTTAAATAAAACAACCCTACTCGAAATACGTATTTCAAAGCGATACTGGGAAAGAAACTTGATTTAAAATCAGAAAATATTATATTAGGAAAAATCCCAATGAATATAAACTCAGATGAAAAGGGTTAGGGTTAGGGTTAGGGTTAGGGTTAAAATATTTTTCAAATTCTTAGAATCACAGCATTAAAGACTATAACAAAGGAGTGGAAAAAAAGTAATCCACTGGATATTAAAAAATGGATTAATAGTATACAAGAAGTAAAATTGAACGAGAAGTTAACTCACAAAATAAGGAACATGGACCATGAGTTTGACAAAATGGTTTATAAAAGAAATGGACAGCACATGAATATTGTGAATCAGTGGTTAACTGTGACTGTGCAGCGGAGGTTGAATGTACGTTGGGACTAATTTCTTCTAAGGGGGATCAATAAAAAACAAAAGCCTGTCGCTGAACCTAGGAAAGTGCTGTAGGTGAATATTGTGTGGGACTGAAGTGATAATGGATTTAAACAAATGGAAAATAGATAATAATAATGAAGTGTGTGGATACTTATGCAAGTATACGGGTAGAGCAGTCCCTGTTAGTGCATGTGTGAGTCCTGTTAGTGCATGTGTGAGTCCTGTTAGTGCATGTGTGAGTCCTGTTAGTGCATGTGTGAGTCCTGTTAGTGCACGTGTGAGTCCTGTTAGTGCACGTGTGAGTCCTGTTAGTGCATGTGTGAGTCCTGTTAGTGCATGTGTGAGTCCTGTTAGTGCATGTGTGAGTCCTGTTAGTGCATGTGTGAGTCCCTGTTAGTGCAGTGTGGTCTGTTAGTGCATGTGTGAGTCCCTGTTAGTGCATGTGTGAGTCCCCTGTTAGTGCATGTGTGAGTCCTGTTAGTGCATGTGTGAGTCCTGTTAGTGCACGTGTGAGTCCTGTTAGTGCACGTGTGAGTCCTGTTAGTGCATGTGTGAGTCCTGTTAGTGCATGTGTGAGTCCTGTTAGTGCATGTGTGAGTCCTGTTAGTGCATGTGTGAGTCCTGTTAGTGCACGTGTGAGTCCCTGTTAGTGCATGTGTGAGTCCTGTTAGTGCATGTGTGAGTCCCTGTTAGTGCATGTGTGAGTCCTGTTAGTGCATGTGTGAGTCCTGTTAGTGCATGTGTGAGTCCCCTGTTAGTGCATGTGTGAGTCCCCTGTTAGTGCACGTGTGAGTCCCCTGTTAGTGCATGTGTGAGTCCTGTTAGTGCATGTGTGAGTCCTGTTAGTGCATGTGTGAGTCCTGTTAGTGCACGTGTGAGTCCTGTTAGTGCATGTGTGAGTCCTGTTAGTGCATGTGTGAGTCCCTGTTAGTGCATGTGTGAGTCCCCTGTTAGTGCATGTGTGAGTCCCTGTTAGTGCATGTGTGAGTCCCTGTTAGTGCATGTGTGAGTCCTGTTAGTGCATGTGTGAGTCCTGTTAGTGCATGTGTGAGTCCTGTTAGTGCATGTGTGAGTCCTGTTAGTGCACGTGTGAGTCCTGTTAGTGCACGTGTGAGTCCTGTTAGTGCACGTGTGAGTCCTGTTAGTGCATGTGTGAGTCCTGTTAGTGCATGTGTGAGTCCTGTTAGTGCATGTGTGAGTCCCCTGTTAGTGCACGTGTGAGTCCCTGTTAGTGCATGTGTGAGTCCTGTTAGTGCAGTGTGAGTCCTGTTAGTGCAGTGTGAGTCCTGTTAGTGCACGTGTGAGTCCTGTTAGTGCATGTGTGAGTCCTGTTAGTGCATGTGTGAGTCCTGTTAGTGCATGTGTGAGTCCCTGTTAGTGCATGTGTGAGTCCTGTTAGTGCATGTGTGAGTCCTGTTAGTGCATGTGTGAGTCCTGTTAGTGCATGTGTGAGTCCTGTTAGTGCATGTGTGAGTCCTGTTAGTGCATGTGTGAGTCCTGTTAGTGCATGTGTGAGTCCTGTTAGTGCATGTGTGAGTCCTGTTAGTGCACGTGTGAGTCCTGTTAGTGCACGTGTGAGTCCCTGTTAGTGCATGTGTGAGTCCCTGTTAGTGCATGTGTGAGTCCTGTTAGTGCATGTGTGAGTCCTGTTAGTGCATGTGTGAGTCCCTGTTAGTGCACGTGTGAGTCCTGTTAGTGCATGTGTGAGTCCTGTTAGTGCATGTGTGAGTCCTGTTAGTGCATGTGTGAGTCCTGTTAGTGCACGTGTGAGTCCTGTTAGTGCACGTGTGAGTCCTGTTAGTGCACGTGTGAGTCCCCTGTTAGTGCACGTGTGAGTCCTGTTAGTGCATGTGTGAGTCCTGTTAGTGCACGTGTGAGTCCCCTGTTAGTGCACGTGTGAGTCCCCTGTTAGTGCATGTGTGAGTCCTGTTAGTGCATGTGTGAGTCCCCTGTTAGTGCATGTGTGAGTCCTGTTAGTGCATGTGTGAGTCCTGTTAGTGCAGTGTGAGTCCTGTTAGTGCATGTGTGAGTCCTGTTAGTGCATGTGTGAGTCCTGTTAGTGCATGTGTGAGTCCTGTTAGTGCATGTGTGAGTCCCCTGTTAGTGCATGTGTGAGTCCTGTTAGTGCATGTGTGAGTCCCTGTTAGTGCAGTGTGAGTCCCTGTTAGTGCATGTGTGAGTCCCTGTTAGTGCACGTGTGAGTCCTGTTAGTGCATGTGTGAGTCCTGTTAGTGCATGTGTGAGTCCTGTTAGTGCATGTGTGAGTCCTGTTAGTGCATGTGTGAGTCCTGTTAGTTGAGTGCATGCGTGAGTCCTGTTAGTGCATGTGTGAGTCCTGTTAGTGCAGTGTGAGTCCTGTTAGTGCATGTGTGAGTCCTGTTAGTGCATGTGTGAGTCCCTGTTAGTGCACGTGTGAGTCCTGTTAGTGCATGTGTGAGTCCTGTTAGTGCATGTGTGAGTCCTGTTAGTGCATGTGTGAGTCCTGTTAGTGCATGTGAGTCCTGTTAGTGCATGTGTGAGTCCTGTTAGTGCATGTGTGAGTCCTGTTAGTGCACTGTGTGAGTCCTGTTAGTGCATGTGTGAGTCCTGTTAGTGCAGTGTGGTCCTGTTAGTGCATGTGTGAGTCCTGTTAGTGCATGTGTGAGTCCTGTTAGTGCATGTGTGAGTCCTGTTAGTGCATGTGTGAGTCCTGTTAGTGCATGTGTGAGTCCTGTTAGTGCATGTGTGAGTCCTGTTAGTGCATGTGTGAGTCCTGTTAGTGCATGTGTGAGTCCTGTTAGTGCATGTGTGAGTCCTGTTAGTGCATGTGTGAGTCCTGTTAGTGCATGTGTGAGTCCTGTTAGTGCATGTGTGAGTCCTGTTAGTGCATGTGTGAGTCCTGTTAGTGCATGTGTGAGTCCCTGTTAGTGCACGTGTGAGTCCTGTTAGTGCATGTGAGTCCTGTTAGTGCACGTGTGAGTCCTGTTAGTGCACGTGTGAGTCCTGTTAGTGCATGTGTGAGTCCTGTTAGTGCATGTGTGAGTCCTGTTAGTGCATGTGTGAGTCCTGTTAGTGCATGTGTGAGTCCTGTTAGTGCACGTGTGAGTCCTGTTAGTGCATGTGTGAGTCCTGTTAGTGCACGTGTGAGTCCTGTTAGTGCATGTGTGAGTCCTGTTAGTGCATGTGTGAGTCCTGTTAGTGCACGTGTGAGTCCTGTTAGTGCACGTGTGAGTCCTGTTAGTGCATGTGTGAGTCCTGTTAGTGCATGTGTGAGTCCCCTGTTAGTGCATGTGTGAGTCCTGTTAGTGCATGTGTGAGTCCTGTTAGTGCATGTGTGAGTCCTGTTAGTGCACGTGTGAGTCCTGTTAGTGCATGTGTGAGTCCCCTGTTAGTGCACGTGTGAGTCCTGTTAGTGCATGTGTGAGTCCCCTGTTAGTGCATGTGTGAGTCCTGTTAGTGCATGTGTGAGTCCTGTTAGTGCACGTGTGAGTCCTGTTATTATCTGTGTTGTGTATATCTTCGGACGGACTGAACTTGTTCCTCCTTGTTATTTTATTACTGTTTTTTGTGTGTCTGTTTCTATTTTTTATATTTGTGTATGTTTTTGTATATTGGCTGTGGTATTTTGTCTACTTATTTTTGAAAAATTATAAAAATAAAGTAAATAAATAAATAAAATGATATACAGCTTTTGGGGTTTGGTGTTTAAAATACATCTGTTATTGCCAGCAGAACATTTGGCTGTGGCTGAGAAGAGGATAAAGAGGACACAGACTCAGAGCAGGTCTTGATCCGCCGCCGCCGCTGCCTCCGGCGCTGCCTCCGCCGCCGCTGCCACCGCCGCCACCGCCGCTGCTGCCGCTGCCGCCGCTGTCGCCGCTGTCTCCGCCTCCGCCGACACCGTCGCTGCTGCCGCTGTCTCCGCCTCCGCCGACACCGCCGCCGCTTCCGACACCGCCGCTGCTTCCGCCTCCGCCGACGCCGCCGCTTCCGCCGACGCCGCCGCTGCCTCCGCTTCCGCCTCTGCCGACGCCGCCGCTGCCTCCGCCGACACCGCCGCCGGCGACCTCAACAACCACCGTGGGTTTGTGGAAGAGTCAAAAGTTTGGACACCCTTTGAATTCTATTAAAACTGAAAAAACAAAATTTTTCTTTGATCCTGAAGAAAACCATAAACTCGAATCCTTTGAACGATTCGTTAAAATGTGTTTCTGTAAAAAGTCTCTAAAACATTTGGCTCAGTCTCCACAAACTTTGGAGCAGCCCCAAACTCAGAGAAATACTTTATGTCCCAGGAAAAGATCAAAGACAGTGTTAGTTTCTTTATCAACTTTATTTTGAGGCAAGAATCTTTAGTCCTAAACTCTGATTCTTTGTAAAGTCTTTTCTTCAAACTCTGCACCGACAAATAAATAAATACAAAAGATAGACCTTGAGAGAATCTAAACGTTATAAAAATAGTGACATCTTTTCATTGTTCATTGTTCGTGAGTTAAAATCTGCGTCTCTTGTTGTTGGGTCCATCTCCGTACGACCCCTGAGGAGGCCCCTGAGGAGGCCCCTGAGGAGGCCCCTGAGGAGGCCCCTGCTGCTGGGACGGTTCCAGCTCTGGACGCACGCCCTGAGGTCCAGGTCCCTGAGGTCCAGGTCCCTGAGGTCCGGGCTCCTGAGCTCCAGGCGGGGGGTATCTCTGTAAAAGTACAATGGACAAACATGAAACAGTGGAAGACGCCATCTAGTGGTGGCAGAGGATCAAAACAAGACTTTTCAGAAGGACAGAAAACCGCTGTGATGTCACACTCTGACGACAACAGAAACGTCACTTTGTGTAAAGTAGAAAATGAGACGTTTGTCCTTGAACTGAAACCTTGACACAGATGTAGAAACAGAACATTTGGATGATAACATTATTATTAGGATCATTATTGCAGATGTAGTTACCATGGCGACGCTGTCTGCTCCCATAGGGCTCATGCTGGCTCCGTCTGGGCTGATGGCGGCTCTCAGACCCATCATCTGTGGGTGGGATCCTCCTGGTGCTACGGGCGCCGGGTTACAGCCCTCTGTGCAGAAGAATACATGAGTGAGCTACAGTGAGCTACAGTCACAGTGAGTCACAGTGAGCTACAGTCACAGTGAGCTACAGTGAGCTACAGTCACAGTGAGCTACAGTCACAGTGAGCTACAGTCACAGTGAGCTACAGTCACAGTGAGTCACAGTGAGCTACAGTCACAGTGAGCTACAGCTACAGTGAGCTACAGTCACAGTGAGCTACAGTCACAGTGAGTCACAGTGAGCTACAGTGAGCTACAGTCACAGTGAGTCACAGTGAGCTACAGTCACAGTGAGCTACAGTGAGCTACAGTCACAGTGAGTCACAGTGAGCTACAGTCACCGTGAGCTACAGTCACAGTGAGCTACAGTCACAGTGAGCTACAGTCACAGTGAGCTACAGCTACAGTGAGCTACAGTCACAGTGAGCTACAGTCACAGTGAGTCACAGTGAGCTACAGTGAGCTACAGTCACAGTGAGTCACAGTGAGCTACAGTCACAGTGAGCTACAGTGAGCTACAGTCACAGTGAGTCACAGTGAGCTACAGTCACCGTGAGCTACAGTCACAGTGAGCTACAGTCACAGTGAGCTACAGTCACAGTGAGCTACAGTGAGCTAGTCACAGTGAGTCACAGTGAGCTACAGTCACAGTGAGCTACAGTGAGCTACAGTCACAGTGAGTCACAGTGAGCTACAGTCACAGTGAGTCACAGTGAGCTACAGTCACAGTGAGCTACAGCTACAGTGAGCTACAGTCACAGTGAGCTACAGTCACAGTGAGCTACAGTCACAGTGAGCTACAGTCACAGTGAGCTACAGTCACAGTGAGCTACAGTGAGCTACAGTCACAGTGAGCTACAGTGAGCTACAGTCACAGTGAGCTACAGTCACAGTGAGCTACAGCTACAGTGAGCTACAGTCACAGTGAGCTACAGTCACAGTGAGCTACAGTCACAGTGAGTCACAGTGAGCTACAGTGAGCTACAGTCACAGTGAGCTACAGTGAGCTACAGTCACAGTGAGCTACAGTGAGCTACAGTCACAGTGAGCTACAGTGAGCTACAGTCACAGTGAGCTACAGTGAGCTACAGTCACAGTGAGCTACAGTCACAGTGAGTCACAGTGAGCTACAGTCACAGTGAGCTACAGTCACAGTGAGCTACAGTCACAGTGAGCTACAGTGAGCTAGTCACAGTGAGTCACAGTGAGCTACAGTGAGCTACAGTCACAGTGAGCTACAGTCACAGTGAGCTACAGTGAGCTACAGTCACAGTGAGTCACAGTGAGCTACAGTCACAGTGAGCTACAGCTACAGTGAGCTACAGTCACAGTGAGCTACAGTCACAGTGAGCTACAGTCACAGTGAGCTACAGTGAGCTACAGTCACAGTGAGCTACAGTCACAGTGAGCTACAGTCACAGTGAGCTACAGTGAGCTACAGTCACAGTGAGCTACAGTGAGCTACAGTCACAGTGAGTCACAGTGAGCTACAGTGAGCTACAGTCACAGTGAGTCACAGTGAGCTACAGTCACAGTGAGCTACAGTGAGCTACAGTCACAGTGAGTCACAGTGAGCTACAGTCACCGTGAGCTACAGTCACAGTGAGCTACAGTCACAGTGAGCTACAGTCACAGTGAGCTACAGTGAGCTAGTCACAGTGAGTCACAGTGAGCTACAGTCACAGTGAGCTACAGTGAGCTACAGTCACAGTGAGTCACAGTGAGCTACAGTCACAGTGAGTCACAGTGAGCTACAGTCACAGTGAGCTACAGCTACAGTGAGCTACAGTCACAGTGAGCTACAGTCACAGTGAGCTACAGTCACAGTGAGCTACAGTGAGCTACAGTCACAGTGAGCTACAGTCACAGTGAGCTACAGTGAGCTACAGTCACAGTGAGCTACAGTGAGCTACAGTGAGCTACAGTCACAGTGAGCTACAGTGAGCTACAGTCACAGTGAGCTACAGTCACAGTGAGCTACAGCTACAGTGAGCTACAGTCACAGTGAGCTACAGTCACAGTGAGCTACAGTCACAGTGAGTCACAGTGAGCTACAGTGAGCTACAGTCACAGTGAGCTACAGTGAGCTACAGTCACAGTGAGCTACAGTGAGCTACAGTGAGCTACAGTCACAGTGAGCTACAGTGAGCTACAGTCACAGTGAGCTACAGTCACAGTGAGTCACAGTGAGCTACAGTCACAGTGAGCTACAGTCACAGTGAGCTACAGTCACAGTGAGCTACAGTGAGCTAGTCACAGTGAGTCACAGTGAGCTACAGTGAGCTACAGTCACAGTGAGCTACAGTCACAGTGAGCTACAGTGAGCTACAGTCACAGTGAGTCACAGTGAGCTACAGTCACAGTGAGCTACAGCTACAGTGAGCTACAGTCACAGTGAGCTACAGTCACAGTGAGCTACAGTCACAGTGAGCTACAGTGAGCTACAGTCACAGTGAGCTACAGTCACAGTGAGCTACAGTGAGCTACAGTCACAGTGAGCTACAGTCACAGTGAGCTACAGTGAGCTACAGTCACAGTGAGCTACAGTCACAGTGAGCTACAGTGAGCTACAGTCACAGTGAGTCACAGTGAGCTACAGTCACAGTGAGCTACAGTCACAGTGAGTCACAGTGAGCTACAGTCACAGTGAGCTACAGCTACAGTGAGCTACAGTCACAGTGAGCTACAGTCACAGTGAGCTACAGTCACAGTGAGTCACAGTGAGCTACAGTCACAGTGAGCTACAGTGAGCTACAGTCACAGTGAGCTACAGTCACAGTGAGCTACAGTGAGCTACAGTCACAGTGAGCTACAGTGAGCTACAGTCACAGTGAGCTACAGTCACAGTGAGTCACAGTGAGCTACAGTCACAGTGAGCTACAGTGAGCTACAGTCACAGTGAGCTACAGTGAGCTACAGTCACAGTGAGTCACAGTGAGCTACAGTCACAGTGAGCTACAGTCACAGTGAGCTACAGTCACAGTGAGCTACAGTGAGCTACAGTCACAGTGAGCTACAGTCACAGTGAGCTACAGCTCTGATCATACTCACCTCCCATTGGTCCACGATGACTCATGTCGCCTGCTCTCTGCTCCGTCTGCGACAACAGACACAGTTCATGATGAGTCTGTGCTCTAGAGTCTGTTCTAGAGTGTGTGCTCTAGAGTCTGTGTCTGTGCTCTAGAGTCTGTGCTCTAGAGTCTGTGTTCTAGAGTGTGTGCTCTAGAGTCTGTGCTCTAGAGTGAGTCTGTGTTCTAGAGTGAGTCTGTGCTCTAGAGTGTGTCTGTGTTTTAGAGTCTGTGCTCTAGAGTGAGTCTGTTCTCTAGGGTCTGTGCTCTAGGGTCTGTGCTCTAGAGTCTGTGCTCTAGAGTGAGTCTGTGTTCTAGAGTGAGTCTGTGCTCTAGAGTCTGTGCTCTACGGTCTGTGCTCTAAGGTCTGTGCTCTACGGTCTGTGCTCTAGAATGAGTCTGTGCTCTAGAGTCTGTGCTCTAGAATGAGTCTGTGCTCTAGAGTCTGTGCTCTAGAATGAGTCTGTGCTCTAGAGTCTGTGCTCTAGAATGAGTCTGTGCTCTAGAGTCTGTGTTCTAGAGTGAGTCTGTGCTCTAGAGTCTGTGTTCTAGAGTGAGTCTGTGCTCTAGAGTCTGTGCTCTACGGTCTGTGCTCTACGGTCTGTGCTCTACGGTCTGTGCTCTACAGTCTGTGCTCTACGGTCTGTGCTCTACAGTCTGTGCTCTAGAGTGTGTGTCTGTGTTCTAGAGTCTGTGCTCTAGAGAGAGTCTGTGCTCTAGAGTGAGTCTGTGCTCTAGAGTCTGTGCTCTAGAGTCTGTGCTCTAGAGTCTGTGCTCTAGAGTCTGTGCTCTAGAGTCTGTGCTCTAGAGTGAGTCTGTGCTCTAGAGTCTGTGTTCTAGAGTGAGTCTGTGCTCTACGGTCTGTGCTCTACGGTCTGTGCTCTACGGTCTGTGCTCTACGGTCTGTGCTCTACAGTCTGTGCTCTAGAGTGTGTGCTCTAGAGTGTGTGTCTGTGTTCTAGAGTCTGTGCTCTAGAGTTCTAAAACGATCAAAGCAACAGAGACTCACTCCGTCCATGTTGGGATGTCTCATCTCGTCCTCTCTGCGACGTCTCTCCTCCTCGTGTCTGTGAGAAAAAAACACCACACAACCATCAAACCTAGAACCACAGTCTGTTGTTGGTGCATTATATATATATATATATATATATATATATATATATATACACACAGTATATATATATAATAAAGAAACCTCATCTCGATCTGCTTCCGTCGCTCCAGTTCCTGATTACGAAGAACCTCTAACCGCCTCAGTTCTTCTTGACGTCTCATTAAATCTGAAGAAGCAAAAACAGTTTAAATCTCACTCTCTCACTATTCAAGAACTATATTATATTTATAATATATAAATAAATATATATTATAATTATAATATATAAATATATATATATAATATTTATAATATAAACTTTGATCTGTTTGAGTCGATGCAGTTTTATAAAGTTGTTATAAAGTTTGTGTTGAAGCCACAGATGTGACAGAGTTATTTCCCTGAGAGTATAGATTACTCATGTTTGAACAGAGTTAGCACAAACATGTGATGTCACTGCTGTGATGTCACTGCTGTGCTCAGGGGCCGCAGAGAACGTTCATATTTTTAAGAGTAGGCTCAAGACGCACCTTTTTAGAGTAGCTTTTGATTAGTATTTATTATTTATTATTGCTTTTTAGTACATCTATTTATGTTTTTAGACACATTATATTTTTATTTATTTTTATTATTTACTATTTTTAATTATTTATTGTATCTACCCATTTACTATTGTTATTATCAATATTAGGCAGCTGCCATTTTTCTTTTTATTGTCACATTTTATTGTTCTACTTTCTATTGTATTATTGTATTGTTTTAGTGTCCCCAGTGTTTCCTCTGGAGGAGCCCTCTGCACTGAGAGCTGGGGTCTGCTGTGGCTTCGGGGGTCTGGCTCTTGGATCCGGTGGGGGTCTGGGGCCTCCTCTCCCCTCTGGGTCCTATGGGGTCTGAGTCCTGGGCCTGGTGGGGTCTGGGGCCCCTCTCTCCTCTGGGTCCTATGGGGGTCTGAGTCCTGGGCCTGGTGGGGTCTGGGGCCTCCTCTCTCCTCTGGGTCCTATGGGGTCTGAGTCCTGGGCCTGGTGGGGTCTGGGGCCTCCTCTCTCCCCTGGGTCCTATGGGGTCTGAGCCCTGGACCTGGTGGGGTCTGGGGCCCCCTCTCTCCTCTGGGTCCTATGGGGGTCTGAGTCCTGGGCCTGGTGGGGTCTGGGGCCTCCTCTCTCCTCTGGGTCCTATGGGGTCTGAGTCCTGGGCCTGGTGGGGTCTGGGGCCTCCTCTCTCCCCTGGGTCCTATGGGGTCTGAGCCCTGGACCTGGTGGGGTCTGGGGCCCCCTCTCTCCTCTGGGTCCTATGGGGTCTGAGTCCTGGGCCTGGTGTGGCCTGGGGCCTCCTCTCTCCTCTGGGTCCTATGGGGTCTGAGTCCTGGGCCTGGTGTGGCCTGGGGCCTCCTCTCTCCTCTGGGTCCTATGGGGTCTGAGTCCTGGGCCTGGTGTGGCCTGGGGCCTCCTCTCTCCTCTGGGTCCTATGGGGTCTGAGCCCTGGGCCTGGTGGGGCCTGGGGCCTCCTCTCTCCTCTGGGTCCTGAGTCCTGGGCCTGGTGGGGCCTGGGGCCCCTCTCTCCTCTGGGTCCTGTGTCGTTGCCTGTGGCTGCAGCCGGCTCTCTGCTCCTGGTGCAGATGGCTCCTTGGATGACGCTTCTTCAGCCGGTTACATCTGCTCCCAGCCCCGTTTCTTTTTATTGTTTTACCTATTTTACCTGATATGACTTTATACTTGTGTATGTGTGTGTGTGTGTGTGTGTGTGTGTGTGTGCGTGTGCGTATATGTGTCTGTGTGTGTGTATATGTGTGTGTGTGTGTGTGTGTATACGCATGTGGTTGTATATATAATTATAAATGTGGTTTTGGGGGGTCTGTGGGGAGGAGGGTTTAGGGCTGGGCATGTTGGATTGTTTTTAACTAAACTGTAAAGCACTTTGTGTTACACTTTTTGTATGAAAAGCGCTTTATAAATAAAATTTGATTGATTGATTGATGTCACTGCTGTGATGTCACTGCTGTGATGTCACTGCTGTGATGTCACTGCTGTTATGTCATGAACACTACTGTCCTGTCTGTGCGCTGCAACATTGAAATGTCCCCACTGTGGGATGAATAAAGGAACTCTGATCTGACCTGGTCTCATGAATGTGTTATTAATGTGTTATTAGTATATATCCATCCATCTTCTTCCCCTTAATCCATGTCTGGGTGGGGGTGGCAGTCAGAGCACCAGCCCCTCACTGATCCTCCTGCAGGAGCTGAGTCCACAGGAGCTGAGATCTTTCAGTGGGAGCTTCAGGCAAAGTGGGGTTAAGTGTCTTGCCCAAGGACACAACGACAACAGACATCAGTGGGAGTTGTGAAGTAGGTCTCATGGTGCATTCAGACGCCAACGCTGAAACGCTGAAGCCCCGCTCACCAGACGTGCATTCTCTAGTTTTCAGACGCAGAGGACTTCACACCAGAACGTCCTGACGCGAGCCGGAAGTACCGGAAGTAGCCGGCTCTGATGCTAACAGAGCTATGCTAGCGGCTTCTTGTGCACAGATCTTCTCCAATATGTAGCTTTGCAGCGTGTCTTTGAACAGAGACTTTCCACTGGCTTTATATAACAGCAGTATGTGTTCACGGTCACTTTATATAACAGCAGTATGTGTTCACGGTCACTTTATATAACAGCAGTATGTGTTCACGGAGGTGACTTTATATAACAGCAATATGTGTTCACGGTCACTTTATATAACAGCAGTATGTGTTCACGGAGGTGACTTTATATAACAGCAGTATGTGTTCACGGAGGTGACTTTATATAACAGCAGTATGTGTTCACGGAGGTGACTTTATATAACAGCAGTATGTGTTCACGGAGGTGACTTTATATAACAGTAGTATGTGTTCACGGAGGTGACTTTATATAACAGCAGTATGTGTTCACGGAGGTGACTTTATATAACAGCAGTATGTGTTCACGGAGGTGACTTTATATAACAGTAGTATGTGTTCACGGAGGTGACTTTATATAACAGCAGTATGTGTTCACGGAGGTGACTTTATATAACAGTAGTATGTGTTCACGGAGGTGACTTTATATAACAGCAGTATGTGTTCACGGAGGTGACTTTATATAACAGTAGTATGTGTTCACGGAGGTGACTTTATATAACAGAAGTATGTGTTCACAGAGGTGACTTTATATAACAGCAGTATGTGTTCACGGAGGTGACTTTATATAACAGCAGTATGTGTTCACGGTGACTTTATATAACAGCAGTATGTGTTCACGGAGGTGACTTTATATAACAGCAGTATGTGTTCACGGAGGAGACTTTATATAACAGCAGTATGTGTTCACGGAGGTGACTTTATATAACAGCAGTATGTGTTCACGGAGGTGACTTTATATAAGATTGCTTTATTTATCTCACAGGAGAAATTTACATGTCACATTTGGCATGGAGAGAACACTCAGATTGTGCAAAGGGAGGAAATGTGCAAACATGTTACATGCAGTATATATGTACAATAAAGTGACAAGTGTCAATTGGAAACAGTGTCAATAGTAGTGCAGGTTTTCACACAGTGATCATTTAAAGTGACTTATTGTACAGTCTGACAGCGGTGGGGATAAAGGCCCTGCTCCTTCCTACACTGAGGGTGTCTCAGTCTTCCACTGAAGGAGCTCCTCAGCTCCTCTACAGTCCTGTGCAGTGGGAGGTATTGTTCATGATGGAGGTGGCTTTGGCTAGCACCGTCCTGTCCCTCACCTCCTCCACAGAGTCCAGGGGCCTCCTGTCCCTCACCTCCTCCACAGAGTCCAGGGGCCTCCTGTCCCTCACCTCCTCCACAGAGTCCAGGGGCCTCCCGTCCCTCACCTCCTCCACAGAGTCCAGGGGCCTCCTGTCCCTCACCTCCTCCACAGAGTCCAGGGGCCTCCTGTCCCTCACCTCCTCCACAGAGTCCAGGGGCCTCCTGTCCCTCACCTCCTCCACAGAGTCCAGGGGCCTCCTGTCCCTCACCTCCTCCTGACCAGCTTGTTCAGTCTGTTTCTGTCCCGCTCTGTGCTGCCCGGGGCCCAGCACACGGCAGCGTAGTAAATGGCAGAAGCTACCACAGAGTCATAAAAAGTCCTGAGCAGAGGCCTGCTCACTCCGAAGGACCTCAGCCTCCTCAGAAGGACCTCAGCCTCCTCAGAAGGACCTCAGCCTCCTCAGAAGGACCTCAGCCTCCTCAGAAGGACCTCAGCCTCCTCAGAAGGACCTCAGCCTCCTCAGAAGGACCTCAGCCTCCTCAGAAGGACCTCAGCCTCCTCAGAAGGACCTCAGCCTCCTCAGAAGGACCTCAGCCTCCTCCGAAGGACCTCAGCCTCCTCCGAAGGACCTCAGCCTCCTCCGAAGGACCTCAGCCTCCTCAGAAGGAAGAGGCGACTTTGGCCCTTCTTGTGCAGGGTGTTTGTATTATGGACCAGTCCAGTTTATTGTTAATGTGAACACCCAGGTACTTGAAGCTGTCCACCAGCTCAATGTCCTCCCCCTGGATGTTCAGCAGCGTGTGGGAAAGTGGTTTTCTCCTGAAGTCGATGATCATCTCCTTGGTCTTACTGGTGTTCAAGCACAAGTGGTTGCGCTCACACCAGTCGACAAAGTCCTTGATAACCGACCGATATTCCAGTTCGTTCCCCTCAGACACACAGCCCACGATGGCGGAGTCGTCGGAGAACTTCTGCAGGTGACAGCTGTGTGTGTCGTGTGTGAAGTCTGAGGTGTAGATGGTGAAGAGAAACGGTGAGAGGACAGTGCCCTGAGGGGCCCCAGTGCTGCAGACGACCACCTCAGACTCACAGCTGCGCAGCCGCACGTACTGTGGTCGGTTTGAGAGGAAGTTGATGGTCCATGCAGTGAGGTAGTTGATGGTCCATGCAGTGAGGTAGTTGATGGTCCATGCAGTGAGGCTACTGTCCACTCCCGCGTCCTCCATCTTCCCCCGCAGCAGTGCCGGCCTGATGGTATTGAAAGCGCTGGAGAAGTCGAAAAACATGACCCTCACAGCGCCCCCTGCGGGCTCCAGGTGGGAGAGCGTCCGCTGCAGGAAGTAGATGACGGCGTCCTCTACTCCGATGTTGGGTCTGTAGGCGAACTGCAGCGGATCCAGGGTGGGGCTGACCACGGAGCGGAGATGGGTGAGGATGAGCCGCTCCATAGTCTTCATCA